ACAGCTCGAGCAGTGCAACGCAAGGCGATTGCAACGCAAAGCAGTCCAGCGGCGACGGCGGCGACGGGCGGCGACGAGCCGGCTGGACCGCCACTGGGGTCCAGCTGCCAGCGGCGGCAGCGGCGGCGCCGAGCGGCGACGGGCGGCGACGAGCTGCCCGGACCGCCGCTGGGGCCCGGCCACCTCAGAACAGGAGCAAGGAGGCCGAAGAGCAATCTCTGTTTGGGGAACGTGCGCGGATGCGAAATGGAAGCGCTACCGCACCCCACCCCCGCGCTCTCTCAATAGCCTTTTCCTGGTGGAAGGTCGCTTCCGCATCACAAGCTTGGCACGATAATGCAGCATGTTCAACTGGTGTGTCACATGCCACGCGCACGTCCCCGAGTTTAAAGAAAACCGAACGAGAGACAGGCCTACCCCTGTAGTCTACCGCCGCACATCGCGCAAATTGAACCTGCGCGACTTACGCAACCAATAATTTGAAAGGCGTTGCGGCAGCCATGGATTGTGTCTATCTTCGGGAAGCGAGATGATTCGAGTAGGCACGCTTTCGACACAACCCGGCTGCCCATATTCCGAATCATGACTGCGCGGTCATTGCGCAGTCTTGGAGTAAACGGTACCATGCTGCTGATCAAGATGTGCGCGTTGACGCTTCCGCATGGCGTTTGTTTGTTTTGCAAGATAGTCATGCCGCATTCGCCAGCGCAATCTTCACGGTCGCTACAAATGAATCGCCCTTCCGATGTGACTACGATGCATGTCTGCGACCAGCCAAAACGGGCGTCCAAGACGGAAGAAGACACCCCCAATACAGGGCTCGTTTGGCGAGAAAGTATTTGAAGTTCCGTTTGGGAACCTAGATTTGCACATGCCCAGTGTGCGTAGTCTTCTACTGACAGCAAGAAGACAGCTGTCCCTCTCAATCGCCGAGTGGTGCAGTGCAGTTTCGCTGAATAAGAAGACGTCGGTCAAACGCTGACCTTCCCAGCGTGCGCTGAGCATTCGAGTGCGACCAACATCAAATTTATCGCAGCTTACCTCGGCACCGTGACAGAACATACTTCTCTTCGTCGCCTGATTCTTGGATCGCTGGGAGCGTTAATCATGCCCTCACTTAATCTACACGGGATTTCGTGCTTCCCGATTTCATGTGCTTCCGTGCCGTGGTAAGAGAGAGCGCGTTTCACGGGCGCTTGCCTTAGGATCATTCGGCGGCGCGTTTCGAACCGGGGGGTAGCCCCCACCCCAACATTCGGCGCCGTCGATGAGAACCAGGGGGACTCCCCTCCCCCCTAACCCCAACGCTGGCGCCAACGGCGCTGGCGGCCGCCAGCAGCGCCGACGGCGGGTACGCAGCGACGATGACCAGAGAGGGCCCAGGAGGAGGGGGGGGGTCCAAATCCCCCCTTCCCCCCCCCCCGCGCCGGCGCACGCGCCGGCGCTGGCGGCGACCAGCAGCGCCGACGGCGGGGACGCAGCGACGATTACCAGAGAGGGCCCAGGAGAGGGCACCACCACCATCACACCATTACCACCACCATCACCGCAAACCACCACACCATCACCACAACCATCACCACCACCGCCATAACCACAACCATCACCACAACCCACCACTACCACAAACCACCACACCACCACCATCACAACCACCACCACCATTACCACCACCACCACCCACCACCACCCACCACCACCCACCGCCGTCACCAGCGCCGCTACCAGCAGCACCACCCCCACAACCAACACCACAGCCCACCACCACCACCACAAACCACCACGCCACCACCACCACCACTGCCACCACCACTATCACCACCACCACCACCACCTCAGCCCACCACCACCACCACCAACAACAACCCACCACACAACCACAACCACCACCACAGCCACAACCACCACCACCACCACCACAAGACACCACCACCACCACCACAACAACAACCCACCACCACTACCACCAACACCACCAATCTACCACACCACCGCCACAACCATCGCTACTACCAGCAGCACAACCCACCACCACCACCACCACAAACCACAACACCACCACCACCACCGCCACCACCACCACCACCACCACACCGCCACCACCACCACCACCGCCACCACCACCACCACCACAACCACAACCACCACTACCACAACCCACCACCACCACCACTACCACCACAACCACCACCGCCATAACAAACCACCCCACCACCACACATCTACAACCACCACCACCACAAACCACCACCACACCACCACCACCAACAACAACAACCATCATCACCACCACCACCACAACAAACTACCACCACCACCACCACCACCACAACCACCACCACCGCCACCACCACCACCATCACCACAACTACTACCACCATCACAACCACCAAACCCCACACCACCACCGCCACCACCACCATCACCACCTTAACCCACCACCACCACCACAACTACCACCACCACCACCAGAAACCACCGCACCACCACCACCACCACCTCCACCACCACCACCACCACAACCTGCCACCACAACCACCACAACAACCACCACCACCGTCACCGCCAACCACACCACGACCACCACCGCCACAACCACCACCCCCACCACCACCACCACAGCCCACCACCACCACCACCACCACCACCTCAGAGAGGCCCCAAGAGAAGCCCAAGATGCGCCCAGGAGGCTGCACAAATGCTCTTCAGAGGCCCCCGAGAGCCCTCCGACGAGACCCCACGAGGCATCAAGTAGGACTCTAACACAAAACCAAGGCACGGTGGCGGAGCGTCGTCGTCGTCGTCATCGTCGTCGCCGTCGTCCTCGTCGACGCTCCCCGCCGCCGCCGCCCGCCGCCGCAGGCGCCAGCGCCGGCCCAGAAAAGGAAGTCGTCGTCCCCGCCGCCGCCGCCAGCCGCCGCCGACGCAAGCGCCGGCCCGAGGAGAGGGAGAGCGGAGAAATAGGGGAGGAGGGGGAGGGGAAGGGGGGGGGCGGGGTTCGAACCCCGGGAGGGGGGGGGAGAGGTTCGAACCCCCCCCCCCTCCATCCAGTGGGGGGTGTCCCGTTCCAAACCCCCCTTCCCTCCAAGTGACCACAGAACGCGCTCTTTCCGTGGTAAAGATCGCGAGCGACATGCACGTTTCGTGCCATTAGCAAGCATTCTACCACCAGCAGGTCAATACGATTATTGTTGATGATATCTTAGTCGGCATGTATGCATTTGATATTTCCATCGCAAAACAAAGACACGTGTTTCTCTCTCGTGGCATAGCATGGACCTGTTTGGATCCCATTCCTTGTGCGAGCGGCACGTGCACCCAATTCTTGCCGGTCGTCTGAATTCGAGTTGTGGAGCCTCGTCGCCTCGTGGGTCAATATTTTTCTATTGGGGCTGTCAAGTGGTATTGATTTTGAAACAGGGCCCGAACACAATGGATCAACGAAGCCTTAAACGTCCAGGCCAACATTATTGAAGGGGCCCAGGGACACACAAATAGGTACACACAAATACAAATGCTCCCCATATTCTTTCATATTTCCTGGATTTTCGTCTTCCCCCCCACTTCCCATGGTTTCACATATTTCCCTGGGGATCGACGGTTCATTGTCTGTGTGGTTTTTCCCCTCCTGAACTATGATTCCAGAGGAGGGGAAGGGCGCAACAGCATGCGCTTGGCTGGGGCGCGACAGCGTGCACTTGCATCTCGGTTGCTGCTTGGCTTCGGCGCGGCGTCGGAAGAGTATTTTCTCCCCTTGCGACGACACCCGAACGTACAAATCTACTCTTAGGTCGGGCGTGTCCCCCTACCGGGCGGATTTTGGACGAAAAAAATAAAAACACTCAAGAAAAACTCAAAAAAACATCAAACATACTCCACAAATCGTACCCAAACTATCTTGCTACTGTTTCTGAACAAAAATCCTCCTGTAGAGGGACAGGCCCGACTTACATCTACTCCCGCACCGCCAACGCCGTAAAATACCCGGCGACCTGGCGAGGGCCTCACGCGGGCCACACCGTTGGGCCTCACGTGGGTTACTGTTTTCACTGTGGCACGGGCCTCGTATTCTCGAGAGGTCGAGATAGTGCAACACAGTGAAGACCCTTCTTCGGACGAAGAAAAAACCACACAAACGTAACCTTTTGGCGCTCCGCGCGGCTTTCTCGGATTCGCGCTGACCCCCCGCTCCCTGGCGCGCGGAGCGCGCCAGGGGCGGCGCCGGAGGCGCCGCCAGGGGTGCCCAGGCGCGGATCCAAGAACTTCGCGCGGAGCGCCAAAAGTTTATGTTTATGTGGCTCTTTCTTCTTCGATCCTTACGCCGCGTGGGTGGACATGGCAGCAGAATTCCTGGACTGCTGCATGCGAGCAGGCTCTGTGCTTCCCGTGCGCGCCCGCCCGAACAGTGCCTGGCGTGCTGTTTTGCCCTCGCGCCCTACACGGGCCCGCCCTCGTGCGAGCGGGGTGACCCGACCTGACTCCCCTCCTCCTCCTCCTCCTCCTCCTCCTCCTTCTCCTCCTCCTCCTCCTCCGCCTCCTCCTCCTCCTCCTCCTCCTCCTCCTCCTCCTCCTGCTCCTATTCCTCCTCGCTCCTCCTCCTCCTCCTCCTCCTCCTCCTCCTCCTCCTCCTCCTCCTCCTCCTCCTCCTCCTCCTCCCCCTCCTCGCCCGCCCTCCTGCGTGCACCACACGCACACACGCGGGAAGGCCGCGCACGGCCCCCGTGGGGCCCACGCTGGGCCAGCGATGCTTCCCGGGTGCGCGCGGGGCACGGTAACGCGGCGGAGACGATGTGCTCTCGATGGTGGTCGACGCTCGGTCGAGGAAGCAATTCCGAACCCCATCCCTCGCCTGGCTCCCCATGTATTATTTCCGTTATTAATATTATAGTATTTCTACCTCCTTTCTCTCCCCCGCCACTGCCAAGGGAAAAATGTAACTTGTTGAGCAGTACCGTTGAAAGAAAAATTACAACAATCGTCAGGGAACCACTTCGCACGACCCCGTCCGCCCCTGGCCTCGATATTGAACATGCGCTCCCGGAGAAGCGGGGCAGGAATAAGCTTAAATACACCATCCCGACTGGAATATTTCCCAATGTTAAGCCCGCGGGCGGAGGGGGGAAGTTGGTTAGTTCTAGCTCTGTGGCAGTCGTTGCAAAGTTTGTTAGTTCAACCGTCCGAAATGTAGCGTCTTCTTCTTCGGGTGGATTCAAGATTCCGAGTATGTGTCCAAAACGGCTTGTGCAAAACACATGTTGGACATGAATTGCATTTGTTGAGAACTTGCCTTTGCTGAGATGCGTTTGTTCGGTTTTGCGCTCGCAACGCAGTGCCGTTTAAGACATATCAGGAGAGCTGGAATTAAAAACGCGTTTCGCGAAAAAGGTGGGTTTCATCACTGTGGCCATGCCAGCCGTGAATTCCATGTTGCGCGCGCGTTCGGGAGGAGTGACGACGACGTGAAGTTCGAATGACGTGCCGAGCTGGCCTGCGAAGAGAATCGATCTCCAACTGGAGTTCGGGAAAACGAGGCGCGAGAATTCCACGGGGACTTCGCGAGCAAAAACACCTCGCAGTTAAAGGCAACAGCGTCGACCTAAAGCGCGCGAACAAACACACGAGAATGACTTCAGAAATTCATCATACAGTCAGGTTGAAATTAACCCAGGGATTCACACGAAACCCCTAAGGGCTTCGCGGAGAAATCCACGGACGCATCCTTTGCGAAATAAGCACGGTCTGCGCCTCGAAATTATCACTTGCATCCCGTGCGGCCTTATCACAGGTGAACGATGTCACTGGAGACACATCGCTGCTTACTGTCGTAGGGTTTCAATCGAACATTCCACTAGCAACATATGAACCTGACTGGAATGGAACGGATGTGGGCCCACTGGAGCATCAGAAGATGCCCGCGAAACCAGCGGCTAAACATTGACGGGGGGAACACGAGGCGGGAGAGGGGGGTGAAGGGTCGGTGCACAACAGACGGTTCCGTCTCCTCATGGCTCGCAGCGTGAGGCACCACCAGATTTAAGTCGGGCGTGTCCCCCTACAGGGGCATTTTGGGCGAAAAATAAAAAGTACCCCAAAAATCCCCCCCCAAAGCGCAAAAATAGTCAAAAAGTCGTCCCCAGACTATTTTTTTACTATTTTGAAATTTTCCTCCTGTAGAGTGACAGGCCCGACTTGACACTAGATCTATCCACGACCGGCCGCCTGCCTCGACGGAGGCCGACGCGCCCCCGTGGCGCCGCCTCCGAGACAGCCCGTGCCGGGATCGGCGCGGGGATCTTTGCCGGGGTCTGTGCAGCGAGCGGGCAGCAAGCAGGGGAAGCGGTGTGGGCTGCATCGGAGAGGCCAGACGGGCGACGGGGTCCCCATGGGGCAGGGAGAGCGATCACGAGGGAGACCTGAAGAGACAGGGCAAAGCACGAGAAGCAGTTGAGGACGTGGTCACAGCCTCGACCGCATCTGGAACTGCGCAACTTCGGGTCCCGAAATTTGGTGGACGTCGTCCAGCCACTGGCAAGGGTCTGAATTACAGAGGAGCTCTGGGCTGGAGGAAGCTTCAAGCAAGCATCCCGCGCACGATCCCATTCAATCAGACTGATCTGAGCCGCGAGCTCAGGGACCAAGTCAAAAGACGCGAACTCAAAGCCTTAGGAATCTCATTCGGAAAGAGATGGTCCTGGAAGACAGGGGTGATGGTTTCTTGAGACTTTGGGCGAGGGCCAGCAGCCGGAGACGGACCGGCGAGAGCAAGAGAGAGAAGGGGGTCGGGCAGCCCCCAAGGCCTCACGCTTAAAAGGAGCCAGGGAGGGGGCAGAAGGGAAACTCAGAAACGCGTCCTCGAAATCCTCCGCTAGACTTATGTAAGCCCAAAAGGGTGGGAGCTAGCTGGCCGACACACGCGAACCTGAACGCTCGCCGAATGACGATAGCAGCTCTCAATCTCCTCAGAATAGAGCTCCACCCGCGTAAAGTCCGCAGCGCAGTTCTCATTCGCGCAGCAAGTTTGGTGACCACTCCACTTCTATGTTGGCATAATCTGGGAGCGACATGGTGCTATGCGGGATTCGGAAGACGGAGGCGAGCAAAGCGTGCCCAGCCCCTGGGCGACAATCTGGGAGGGAGAGGCAGGAACTGGCCGACGTGAGAGCGGGTGGTCAGCGCTCTCCTGCCATACGTCATGGCAGCCTCAAATGCTGGCGGTGACTGGGCAGCGATTTGAGCAACCCTGAGTGCCTGCTGCGCTCGCGGGGCGCCAAGAGTGCCAGCGGGCCTGCGGTCCGAGCATCATCCTTAGATGCTTCGGTACAGGAGCGATCTGGATGCCAAGCCAAGCGGGCATCACCCTTGCGATCCAGGTCCGATGTGTTCCGGCCAGGGGCTCCGAGAACTGGCCCGCGAGGGACGTCAGAAAACGCTTGGCTGGCTTCACGTACATTTGCTTGGTTTCACATGAGGCTCCGTCTCCTCCTCCTCCTCCTCCTCCTCCTCCTCCTCCTCCTCCTCCTCCTCCTCCTCCTCCTCCTCCTCCTCCTTCTCTTCCTCCTCCTCCTTCCACTCTTCCTCCTCCTCTTCGTCTTCCTCCTCCTTCCTCCTGCACCTGCTCCTCCTCCTCCTCCTCCTCCTCCTCCTCCTCCTCTCTCCTCCTGCTCCTGCTCCTGCTCCTGCTCCTGCTCCTGCTCCCTCCTCCTCCTCCTCCTCCTCCTCCTCCTCCTCCTCCTCCTCCTGCTCCTCCTCCTCCTCCTCCTCCTCCTCCTCCTCCTCCTCCTCCTCCTCCTCCTCCTCCTCCTCCTCCTCCTCCTCCTTTCCCCTCTGAATCTCGGCGGCGCGCCCAGGGCGAAAGCAGAAAAGGCTCGGAAGGTCCCTGGCCTTCCGAGAATCCTTCCAGGCCTTCCCCGAAGCCACACCACGGAAGGCTTCTCGGAAGGCGGCAGGGCAGGGAGCCCGGACATCGGGCGCCTCGACAGAAATCGAGACGGAGGTCTGTCGTGGCTTTCGGCCTCTCGAGGCCCCCGCCGGGCCCCGGGACCGTCAAAAAACGACCTGGGACGAAAGGCCGGTCCCGGGGGAGCGGTCGGGAGGTCGGGGGCCCGTGTCTCGACAGGATCGAGACGTCGGATGCCTGGGAGGGTGAGGGGAGGGGGAACGAGCGGCGGCGACGGCCCCCGGCGGGAGGGGGGGGGGGGGGGCGAAGAACAGAGCCCCGCGCGCGCCGCCACGCTGGTCCCGGGCAGGCGGCGCTGCCCGTCGGAGGGGGGGGGGGCGGAGGGGAGCAGCAGGCAGGCGGCGACCACAGGCGCAGGCGGGAGGCCAGGGCAGGGCGGGGCGGGGCGGGCGGAGCTGCTCCCGAAGCGCCGCCGCCTGCCGAGAAGACGTGCCCCGTCTCTCCCTTCTGCCCCTCGGCACGGCGCCCAGCTCGGCTCTCGAGCCGCGACGCGGGCCTCCGCGGCCGCTCGGGTCGAGCCGGGCACCCCTGGAGCGCTGGCGGCGAGGCGCAGCCGCTGGAACACGTCCCGAAGCTGGACAACCGCCGAGGACGGACGAAAACGCCCGAACAAGCGTCCCCCCTCGGCGCGACTCTGACAATCACCCTCATTCAGGAGGGAAAGGAACACACAAACACAATGAATCGTCGACTCCCAAGAAAATATGGGAAAATATGGGAAGTGGGGGGGAAGACAGAAACCCAGACAATATAGGAAAATAGGGGGAATATGTTTGCTTGTGTGTATCTATTTGTGTGTCCTGGGGCCCCCTTCACTCGTGCCCTGGCCTGCCCTCCCCGCTCCCCTCTGTCTCTGGCGGCCCGGTCGCCGTGGGGTTGTCGCAGCCGCCGATGGCCCCGCGCTCCTGCGGGAGCCCTCGCTCCCGACCCCTCCCTCCCTCCCTCCCTCCCCCCTCCTCCTCCCTCCCTCCCCTCCCTCCCCCCCTCCCTCCTCCCTCCCTCCCTCCCTCCCTCCCTCCCCCCTCCCCCCATCCCTCCCCTCCCTCCCCCTCCCCCTCCCCTTTCCCTCCGGGATCTGGCGTGTGATTACGGCAGGTCCGAGTCCCCTCACGTCCCTCCCCCTCCCCTCGATGACTCCCCCCCCTGAGGAGGGGGAGGGGGGCGGGGGAACGGGGCGAGGCGGAGGGGGGGCGGGGGGCTGACTGCCGGAGGGGCGAAGAGGGGGGGAAGGCGCGAAGGAAGAGGAGGTGGTGGGCACAGGCTTGGACGCAAGATCGCGTATGCCGAGGGTCCTTCCGCCCTGCTTCCTGCACGGCGGACGCGGGCCTCCTCCCTTCCTGGAGGGGCCCACAGAAACCTCACACCAAGGGGGGCACCCTCAACTTATGAAGGGGCCCATGGGGGAGGGCCCTCCGAGGCTGTGCAGCTTCCTCGCAGAGGACTCGAAACGAATCACATGTGCGGTCTGGCCTCATTCGGGCCCAGACGCCACCCTCCGAGGCTGTGCAGCCTCCTCGCAGAGGGCTCGAAACGTGAACTAGGCCGACAGTAGACACCTGCACGGCATAGAAAAAATGAGAAACTCATGGGCGGTCTGGCCTCCTTCGGGCCCAAACGCCGTGCGCCAGTCTGCTGTAGACGCGGCACGAAAGGAACTCGTGCGAGGTTCCCGAAATCACCGAGTCGGCACAGCTGAGGGGCGACACTACGGCGTCCAGTAGTGCGTCCATATGTGCGACATAGTCCTCCTCCAACCTGCTCTGGCTCACTCGGCCGGAGAGGAGGGGGCGGGGGAGAGGAGGGGGCTGACTGCGGGAGGGGCGAAAGCGGGGGGAGGAGGGGGGGCGAGGGAGGAGGGAGGGGGGAGGAGAGGAGGGGGCGGGGGTGAGGAGAGGGGGCAGGACGGGGAGGGGCGGAAGAGGGAGGGCCTGGGCCGGCGAAAACCGACGAGGGGGGCCCCCGGAGCTCCATGATGGCGCGCTGCAAGTGCGCCGGGAGGCCGCGGAAGCGCTGGCAGGCCTGCTGCTCCACGTAGCCGCACTCCTCGCCGAGGGCAGCCGCCACGCCGCGGCCCACGGCCGGCGGGCACGCGGCCCCGCCGCGCGAGCCCAGGAGCACTCCTCCTCCTCCTCCTCCTCCTCCTCCTCCTCCCTCCTCCTCCTCCTCCTCCTCCTCCTCCTCCTCCTCCTCCTCCTCCTCCTCCGGGTTGGCCAAGGGCCACGACCGCCGACCCAGATTGACGACCCGCCAGGCCATCCCAACGCCCAACCCGAAGACCCGAATATATCTGGAAGGGGGGCGTACGGTCTTCGCACGTGTTCTCTCGATGTTCCCCGACGCCCCCCCCCCGCCCACTGGAAAAATGGGGGGCAAATCGTGCGATCGCAGGCCGTGTGGCGGCTTCCCGAAGCCCCGGGCCCAGAAGCGTTCTCGTCTCTTCTCCCGCCGGCTTCCTCCGGCGGTGGCGGCCTCCTGCTGGTGCCGCCGACTTTCCGCCGCCCTCCCAGCGCCTGCCGACGACGAAGAGGTGGCAGCTCCTGCGGTCCTCGAAGGCGAGGCCCCCGCTGGAGCGCCCCGTGTCGCACGACACAGCGGCTCGGAAGGGGAGCAGTGCTTGCCGCGCGAGAGGGGCGGCAATCGGAGATTACACCTAAGCACCGTCAGTATGGTCAGTGGACAGACAGCCTTGTTTCACAACTGCTCTTCCAAATGAACTGGCCCTGCACGGCAAAACGAGGGTGCCTGAATGATGCACCCAACGCCTCCTGAGGAAGGAGGGAAGGAGGCGGGAGGCGATGTGTTTTTTGTCAGCCGGCACGCTTCTCCTCGATTTCGGCCGCCATAGGCCGTCGTCGGGACATGGGACCATCCAAAACGGATCCGGGACGAAAAACTACCCTGGGAGAAGCGGTCGGGGCTTCTGGAGCCGCGGACTGAAAATTGCCCCAACGCGGGCCCCAAATATGAGAGCAACAATATCGGCAAAGCCAGCAGAGGCTTGCGAAAACACAAATGTCACGCCTTGGTCAGAGCCACTTTTATGCTAAAGCAGATCTGGGCAGCAATGCGAGCAGCAGCACAAATATTGAAAAAAAAGCATTACTCCGACGGCAAGCCCCCACGTGATAATATGTTCAGCTTGCCTGATAATCTTCTCATGTTCCCTTTTCCGCCTGTTTCATCCTTTTCCTCCTGCCTCCTGCTTGCTCCTCCTCGAACCACATCCTCCTGCCTTCTCCTGACTCCTCCTCCCCATGCCTCCCCATCCTCTTGCCTTCTGCCTCCCCCTGTTCCCTCCTGCTCCTCCTTCTCCTCCTGCATGCTCGTCCGCCTGCCTCCTCCTCACGCCTTCTAATCATTACTCCTCCTCAGTATCATCATCACCGCAGGCGCAATCATCACCACCACCATCACCATCATCATCATCATCATCATCATCATAATCATCATCATCATCATCATCATCATCATCATCATCATCATCATCATCATCGTCATCATCATCATCATCATCATCGACAACATCATCATCATCAACAGCATCAGCAGCATCAGCATCAGCATCAACATCAGCATCAGCATCATCGTCATCATCACCACCACTATCACCAACACCACCACCACCATCACCATCAGCAGCATCGCAATCAGCATGGCCATCATACTCATCATCATCGTCATCAGCATCATCATCGGGCCTCCCTCCCACTCATCCTCCTCATCATCAGAATCATCATCAACACCATCTTCATCATCCCCATCATCATTATCAGTACCATCATCAGCAGCAGCGTCATCATCATCATCATCATCATCATCATCATCATCATCGTCAGCATCATCATAATCATGATCCACATCGTCGTCATCATCCATCTCATCATCACCGTCAAAATCCACATCCATATCATCATCAACAGCAGCCAGCATCGTCAACGTCGTCATCATCGTCATCATCAGCAGCATCAACATTATCATCTGTATCATCATCGTTATCACCATCATCACCAGAACCATCAGCATTATGACCATCATCTGATCCTTATCATCCTCGTCCTATTCCACATCATCATCAGCGTCATCGGGATCGGCAGTGAATAGTCGTCATCATCATCACAACCATCATCATCATCATCATCATCATAATCATCATCATCATGACCATCATCATAATCATCAGCATCGTCGTCCTCATCGTTATCAGCATAAGCATCAGCACCACCACTATCACCAACATCATCGTCATCATCATCACCAGCATCAGCAATGTCAGCATCATCATCATTAGCATGATGGTCAAAATCATCAACAGTATCAATCGTCATCATCATCACCATCATCATGATCGAGCCTCCTCCTCCTCATCATCGTCAGCCGCAACAGCATCGTCATCAGCATCATCATCATCATCGTCCGCATCATCATCATCGTCATGCTGATGCTGATCCGCATTATCATCCTCATCATCATCAGCAGTATCATCATACACACACATCATCCCATCATACATACATACATTTACATGTTCCTCGGCATACTTACGCGGGACGAGAGATTTTCCTCTCGAGGTGAAAACGGCCATGAGGAGCTCGCGAGACGTCGGCACCGCCGAACGGACGGCGACCGGACGAGCTGTTTGCAGCGACCAGGGGGAGAGGGATGTATGTATTCATGTCGAATGGGGCCCGCTCGCGCGGGGAGCTGATGGGAGTGCGCGAGACGACACAAGGTCCATCGTGGACATGTGTATTAGCGAACCCCCCTCCCCCGTAGAATCTTAGCACGGGCGGTTTGCGGGGTCCGCGGATCCGACTTCTTCCTGCCCCCTGTTTTTATTCAATAGTATAAATCTAAAAAAAGGGTCGGAATCAGATCCGCCGTGCAAAATAAGGTGGGACGCGGATCCGGGAACATCCGAAATCAGAACCGCGCAGACAGAATTCGGATCCACCGAAACACAAACGCAAACCAAAATTGGATTCGCGTGAACTTCATTGGATCCGACGGCGGGTATCTCATACGCGTCTGCTCAAGACTTCAAACCTTCACTCCGGGCCCAAGAGGAAAAAACTTTCGTCCTGGGGATGTACTCAGCATCATCGGCAGTATCACCAGCATTAGCATCACAATCCCCATCATACACATCCTCATCCTCATCGGCAGCAGCATCATCATCATCATCATCATCATCATCATCATCATCATCATCATCGGCAGCATCACCATGATCATCATCAGCAGCAAGAGCATCAAGATCACCATCGTCATCATCATCATCATCGTCATCATCATCGGTAATTAATCATCGTCATCCTCATCATCCTCCTCATCATCATCATCATCAGTATCATCAGTATCGTCATCATCCGAATCCTGGTTCTCATCATCATCCTTATCATAATCAGTCTTATCATCATCAGCATCATCATTGACATCAACATCATAATCAATATCGTGATCATCATCATCGTAATCATCATCATCATCATCATCATCATCATCATCATCATCATCCTCATCATCCCCATCATCATCCACATCCTCATCCTCATCCTCATTATCATCCTCATCAGCATCATCATCATCAGCAACAACATCATACGTAGCAGAAGCAGCATCGCCATCCTGATCATCATGAGCATCATCAGCATCCTCATCATCCACATCCACCTCGTCCTCCTACACAGCCTCGTCCTCCTCGGCTTCATCAACATGAGCAGCATCAGCATCAGCATCAACAGCAGCATCATCATCATCATCATTATCATCCTCCTTGATGTCGTCGTCGTCAGCATCATCACCCTCATCCTCAGCATCAAACCCATCCTCATCCTCATCCACATCCCCATCCTCATCAGCAACTTCATCACTATCATCATCATCACCATCATCATCATAATTATCATCATCAACATAATCGTCATCATCATCATCATCATCATCATCATCATCGTCAACATCATCATCGTCATCATCGGCATCAGCATCGTCATCCTGGTCCTCACCGTCCTCATCATCAACATCCTCATCGGCATCCTCTTCCACATCATCGTCAGCGTAATCAACATCATCAGCAGCAGCCGCAGCATCATCAGCAGCAGCATCATCAGCACCCTCATCCTCATCATCATCGTCATTAGCATCATCATCATCATCGTCATCCTGATCAGTTTCAGCACCCGCATCATCGTAATCCTCATACTCCTCCACATCGTCATCCTCGTCAAGAGCACCATCAGCATCAAGAAATGCATCATCATCATCATCGTCACCATCGCCACCGGCACCATCACCAGCATCATTATGATCCTCATCATCATCACGATCATCACCCGCACCCTCTTCTTCATACACAGCCCGATCCTTCTCAACACCACCAGCAGCAACAGCATCGTTATGAGCAGTACCATCCTCACCATCAGCATCGTCACAATCGTCAGTACCATCATCGTCGACATCATCATCATCATCATCATCATCATCATCACCATCATCATCATCATCATCATCATCATCATCACCACCACTACCACCACCACCAGCATCATGGTCAGTAGTCTCGCAAAGATCGTCAGCGCAATCATCGTAATCGGGCTTCATCCACCTCCCCACCGACACCACCATCATCATCATCAGCAGCATCATCCTCACCGTCAGCAGCAGCATCATCAGCATTGAAAAAATCGTCATCAGCATTATCATCATCCTCATCACCATCATCGTCATCATGAGCACCATCCACATTCATACCCCCTCAGTATGATCATTCGCATCAGGAGAGACATCATCATCCACATCAACAACAGCCGCAATATCATCATCGCCATCATGATCATCAGTCGGGCTTGCATCATCATCAGCACTACCAGAATAATCATCATCACCGACATCATCATCATCATCCTCATCAACATCATCATCAAGAGCGTTAGCACCACCTGCAGCAGCATCGTCATCAGCATAGTCATGATCAGTATGATCAGAAGCATCATCATCATGATCCGTAGCATCAACCTCATCATGATTACAATCATCCACGTCAT